GCCAAAACAAAGGGAAAACATGCTGAAGTAATAGCTAAACAGAAGATTTCAAAGGGCAGCTCAAGAAGACAAAGCAAACTCTTACAATGGAATATACAGAGACCTAGAATTGGAGAATAAAAAGGGACGAACTCACTCAGCATTTCTCGAGGTGAAAGAATTACAAAACAAATTCGGGCCTCAAATTAAAATATACTTAGAGATATTATGGGCAAACTCTTCAATGATCCAGGAAGCATCAAAAGAAGGGGTGAGGGGAAGAAGGTAGAGGGAATACACAGTTACTATATGAAAAAGAATTGGCTGACAGCAAAACAGTTCAAGAAGTACTATATGAGCAAGAGCCAGTGGTAATGAAGGAAGAAGTTCAAGCAGCTATGAAGGCACTGGCAAAAAATAGGGCCCCAGGAATCAGGATACCCATTGACATATTTCAAATGACAGATGCAGTCCTGGATGTGCTCACCAGCCTACACCAGGAAATTTGGAGGAGAGCTGCCTGGCCAACTGACTGGAAGAGATCCTTATTTGTTTTCATTCCCAAGAAAGGTGACTCAAAAGAATGCAGAAATTACCAAATAATATCATTAACTTCACATGCAAACAGAATACTGAAGATCATTCAAAAAAGGGCAAGAACACATAGACAACCACCAGAAGTTCAAGGTGCATTTAGAAGAGGCTGTGGCACCATGGATATCATTGCTGATATCAGATGGATCCTGGCTGAAAAAGAATATCAGAACAATGTCTATTGTGCTTTATTAATTATGTAAAAACATTTGATTGTGTGGATCATAACAAACAATGGCCAACATACAGAAAAACAGGAATTCCAGAATACTTAATTATGCTCATGAGAAACCTAGACCAAGAGGTTACTGTGTGAACAAAGCAAAGGAACACTTCATGTTTTAAAACTAATAAAGGTGTGCATCAGGGCTGTACCCTTTTTCCACCCATACCTATTTAATCTGTATGCTGAGCTGATTATTTAAGAAGCTGGATTCTGTGAAGAAGAATGTGGCATCAGGATGAGAGGAAGACTCATCAATAACCTTTGTTAGCAGATAATACAACCTTGCTTGCTGAAAGTGAGTACTTGAAGCACTTGCTGCAGATCAAACATTGCAGCCTTCAATATGGATTGCATTTAAACATCAAGAAAACAAAACTCTCACTATTGGATCAAATAGGCAACATCATGATAGATGGAGAAAAGACTGAAACTGTCAATGGCTTCTTCATCATATATCATCTTCAATCTTCAACTGACTTCATCTTACTTGAATCCATAATCAATACACTTGGTAGCAGCAGTCAGTAGATCAGGAGACTTACTGCACTGGGAAAGTCTGCAGTCAGGAACTTCTCCAAATTATTGAGGAGCACTGATGTCAGTTTGAGGACCAAGATGCAACAGATTCAGGCCATGGCCTTTTCAATCACTTGCTATGCATCTGAGAACTAGATAATGAATTAGGATGACAGAAAAAATGATGCCTTTGGTGTTGGAGAAAAGGGCCGAATATCCCATGAACAGCCAAAGGACAAGTACAGACAGAGTGCTCCTTGGAGACAAAGATGATAAAGCTTCATCTCACATACTTTGTACCTGTTGCTATTCCTTGGAGAGGAATATCATGCTTGGAAAGGTGGAGGGTTGGTGAAAGAGAGGAAGACCATCAACGAGGTGGACTGACACAGCAACTGCAGCAATGGGCTTAGGTATGTCAGAGATTGTGAGGATGGCACAGGATAGGACAGGGTCATCACTAAGAGTCACACTCAAAAGCACTTAACAAGCCACCAGATCTGTCACAGTTTAGGAGGCCAGAACTCTGAATTCAGAGTGCCAGGCTAGGGAAAGCTATTCTCTCTGTCTTGCTCCTAGAGGAAAGAGAGCTGGAATTCTCCAGTCATCTCCATGTGTCTTGCTTACCCCTTAAGCCACTATACTCCCGGTCTTCTTTCCTGGTGGTACTGACATCCCCTGGTCTTGGCTCACTTTTCCTTCTTTTTATCTTTTGAGAAATAAAACGTATTAGAGGTCATACCCACCCCAGAGAACCATCCCTTATAGTGAACCAGACTGTGATAGGATTAGGGGTGTTGCATCCCACTCTTAATCCTTTTACAAGTGTTCTGTTTGTCAGATCATTCTATAACTTCCACATGACACCAATACATGCAAGGATTGTGAGAGAACACAATCCAGTATATGAAAATAGAGGCAGGATGTGACAGCTGGAAGTAGACCTGAGGGTAGAGTTTCAGGAAGAGGGGAACGAGGTGGGCTAGTGGGTTTAAAACCTTCAGAAGCCCCACTCCAACAGCAGAAGACTGAATTGTGAAAGGGAAGGCAGATTAAATGTGCCCTCCGGGTTTGCAGAAACAACAGTCCAGGCAGGTAGAGACTAGCTTGGAGTGGAAATCAGGGTGGGGTGTAGGGGAGGTCCCAGACAGAAGTGATGAGGAGGAAGGAGGGAGTCAGCTGAGTGGACTGAGGTTCAGTCATCCCTAGGGGCTGTCCCAGGGGAGTGGTCCAGAGGAGAAGGCCAGGACTGTCCCTGTGCTGGTGGGAGTGGGCTGTGTCCGTTGTTTATCATTCAAGAACTCCTTCTTTCCTCTTGGTATACTATTAGGAAGGCATAACAAAAACAATAACTCCTTGACGCTGAGTCAGAACTGACTCAAAGCTGATCCTCCGGCTGGTTTTCAGAGGCTGTAAATCACATTAAACGTGGGGAGGGCTGGCCCATCTTGCTCCTGGGGAGCTTCTGGTGGATTTGAACTGCCTGCTATTGGGCTGGCAGTGCCACTTCTTACCCCTTAAGCCACTAGAGCCACGAAGAAAAGTATGCTGGGCCAGCCATGCCAAGTGACCTGCCTGAGATCACCTTTGCTGAGAAATTGTTATAAACTCCAAAGCAGTGGGTTTTAAGGACAGGACTGGGGGTTGTGATGTTGTTGTTATTGTTATGTGCCATCGAGTCGCTTG